TTTTCAGAAGTCTTTCACGGAAAATTTGAAATGTGCGCTGAGTTGGGCTCAAGTTCTACCTTGGCTATTTTTTATTTCCTTAAAATAATTTACTGCTTTCTTTGTCAATATTCTGGTTTCTTTTCATTTTCTGTCACGGATGATAATGACTTGACACCGTCACTTACTTGCATCACAATCATGATCATTAATTTGCCTCAACACTGTGAGAAGGGGGAAAAATCAGAGAACTCCGTTTGTATATATATCAGGTTGGTGTTACATTAGAAATAAACTTAGGGATAATTGATATCATTTGGGTGTTGACTCTGCATATCCTAAAATACTGAGAGCACTGCCATTTTTCAAGTCTCCCTTTCGCTTTTTGTTTCTTCAGAACAATTTTATTTTTGTTCACCCAACCCACTCTAGTTAAGCTTATTTGAACGTATTGCATTTGACTCTGTCATATTCAATGGGGTACACTTTTAATATGTTCTCCGGGGAGATACTTTGACATGTGAAAGTGATTGATTTATGTTTATTTTATGTATAAGTAAGCCCAAAATTCTTGCTCTTTAAACATACTTACCTTTGTAATTGTAGTAGTGAACACTTCAAATAAAATGAAAGTAGTAAAGATATTAGTGACCATTTTGTGTTTCTTCTCACAGGAGGAATATCTCATTTTTTCCCCTCAATTGTGGGATTTTATGTCAAGATCAAGATTGCATCATGTTAACGAAGAACTATCCAATTTTTATTGAGTCATTTGATCATCAAGAAAAGATGTTAAGTTTGATGACACACATTTTTAGCATCTATGGAGATGTATCATGTGGGGTTTCTCTTTGGACATAATATGGTGAATTTTACGACTCTCCTTCTTCATATTGAATCATTCCTACCTTCTTGCAATCAACCCACCCTGGTCCGCGGTTTGGTCTTTGCCATGGCAGAGTTTCTGGACCTTTTCTCTGAGTTCACATATGTTCTTGGGTTCTATCCATTCTGCAATTCAAGCTCTGTGTTGACTGGTGTTTTCCATCACCTATATTCTTTTTCAGATTTAGTAACAGATTGGAAGGTCTTATGTTTCTTGATTCCTATTTTTGTTCTCATCCTCCATATTTATTTTCTTCGTCCTCTAAATCAGTAGGAAGTGGTTAACGTGGTCGATTTTATTGTCCTTTTTCCAGTAATGGTTGCTCCGCAGAAACGTCTTTGAATGTTTTCTCTCTGAGTTCTTTTTCTCCTGCAGAAACGGGCTCATGAGATCAGATACGGGCAAGACGGTGAAGAAGTAGGCAGCTCCATCCATTGCACTCGCGCCCATACCTCACACGGTAAAGATCTGAAGCCATAGGAAACCTTACGGAACCCAAGAGATTAGGAGAAAAAGGGCGCAGAATCCACTGAGAAAGCTTTCTAACGTGAGTGTGAAGCAGGGAAGAGAAAACCGAGCTGGGATCGGAGACTCCAGGGACGGGGGAGATCCCTCCCTATGGGGAGTGAGAGGGGGAAAAAAAGAGAGTCCGAAAGACAAAAACCTCCGCTCGGGGCACAGAAAGACCGTGCTCGCTAAATACCTGCGGGCCAGTCCCCCGCGCGCCAACTCGTCCCAGAGACACTGCGAGGGAGGACCGCCTCTTTGTGCTCCTGACTGGCTGGACTCCAAGAGAAGCTGCACGCCTGCAGCGCCATTGTGCTCTTAGCTGGCTGGAACTCTAGAGGGAAGGCGAAGAGCTTCAAACCTGGAGATTTGCCCGCGAGTTCGTATTTCGGGCGAGGAGACACAGAGTGACCTCATTTCCCCCTCCACAGCGGACTCGGCGCGCCCGGCAGGCAAGCCCCCCTTCGCCCATGCTCGCCAGCCCGACTCGGAGAAGCGAGCATCGATTATGGCTCCATCCCCAGAGCTAGGCAGGAGGCTTGGAATTGCCCCGAGAGGGCGCTTGGGAAGTTGTGTCTATGGCAATTTCAGTGGGGTGCATGGACTGGAATTTGGAGGCTGGGACTGGCCTGGGTTGAAGAGTGCCACCAACTTTGGCTGCGCTCCCGGTATGGGGAGGTTACACGCCCAAAACAGCGAGGTCCAGTGCTTGCTTCCAGAAGGGACTGGAACTCTGCCACTCTCCTCCCCACAACCACAAAGGCTGAACTCCCGCCTGATACATTGGATCACACCACGCCCATCCCTGCTTGAGAGCGGCCCTCCTCCCTATTTTTTTT